CCCGAAGACGTGAAATGGACACGAGCGGTAGAGGACGAGTATCTGTTACATAATTAAAAAAAAAAACTGGTGGGAGTTTTCTTTTGGGTAAGGAGTGGGGGTTGGGGAGAAGCATACCAGTTCGAGCCAGACGTTTCCCGAAAGAGACGCAAACGCTGAAACCGTGTCTTTCGCTCTCGCCCAACCTCCCCGAAGCACAAGCCGAGGCTGAAGATGGGATCCCACTGCTCCGTGGGTAGTAACGTGTCGCGTGTCCGCGGACCACACCGGAGCTCCGGCTTGGCGTAACCCAGACCGACCCCGTCCCGTCCCGCCGACGTCTGCGTTTCGAGGCCCGGGAGTTTGGGGAGAGAGGGGGGGAAAATAAAGTCGTCGGGAGCAGCTGTCTGCACCTCCAGTCTCGCCCGGGCGAGAGCTGTGCTCTCTCTCCCCCCCCCCCAGAGATACTGTATAAATCAGCATTAGGCGCTGCTGCCATTTGGGGATCACGTGCTGGCTCTCCTGATGCTCGGAGCTCGGCGCTTGAGACCGAAGACCACCACGGATGAGATCAGGGACCTTTCTAATGTTTCTAAAGGTAAGAAAAAATCACCCCCCCCCCTCCTCCTCCTCCCCCCCCCCCGCTGGACTTGTGCTGTTCATGGTGGTGGTGTGGGGGGGTTCGCTTTGCCGATTCGGACCGGCGCCGCGCCGAGAGCGCAGGAGAAGCGGTTTCAGCGAAATACGTTGGGCTCGTCGCTGCCCGTCTTCACCTCCTGTCCTTCAGGGTGAGACGAGGGGGGGTTAAAACACCCCCCCCGCTGTACTCCCGACATGCCTTTCCTCACTAGCGCCCCGTAGCTCGGCACTTGCTGGTCGGCGGTGCGTTAACGTGATTTGTTTTAGACACGATGCACCTGGACGGGGGGCTCGGTCTTCCACGCACTAGCCTGCTCAGGTGACCCGACACAACAGGAGGCGATTTTCCAAGGTGACGGACCCCAAAACGTGCCTTTAACTGCACAGTAACCCCAGAGTAGTACTGCAAGGTTGCTATTTCAAGAGAGGACGTTCGTCGTCGTCAGACTGCACGTTGTTTTGTTTTTGTTTTTTTTGGTCGGTGGTGTCGTGAAACAAACGGTTTCACTTTTTAAATAAGTTTTGTGGGGTTTTTTTTTTGTTTAGAGAGAGGCTAAAGCGAGCGGACTCCCGTCCAGTCCGCCTAGTCGGTGAAGTCCCCGAGCTTTCTACGTCACTCAGTTCGACACGAAGGTCGCTGTCCGTGGTGCTGAAGTGCTTCAGCGCCATTAATTGGCTGGAGGGAGCCGTATGGCGGTGTATTACTGCTTCTTGTACGACGCGAGGTCCACGGCTGTGGGCGTGGATGCGTGTGCTCAGGTTTGTTGCCAGAATAGTGGTCCCTGTCCATAGCCCTTTGTCCCCTGGCGGTGTCCACACTAATTGTAGCAAAACAAAATGTGCACGCTGGCCGTTTTCACAGTGTGCTACCAAATACCCCTTTCCAGTAGAATATTATTGCCGACTTCTGGTGATGGGCTCTTGTGCTTTTTGTGCGATGTATGACAATGGACAGCATGCATGTCCTCCGTTAGTTTGAAGGTAGCTGCAGTCTGGGAAGGAGGCTGTGGTAATTATTTGGAAAAGGATACTCCTGTGCACACATGGAAGATCTTGGGCCAGGGTGTGACTGCTGTACCTTTGCATTACCACTAAATTGCAACTGCACGGGGGATTGCTTTGTGACAATCAGAATAACGCACGCCTGCTGTAATTCTAGAGCTATTGTGAGGCCCTCTCCTTGTTTGGCTAAGTATAAGTTTGTTTATCTTTGGAACTCTAGTAAGTTGAAGCCCCCTCAAAACAAGTTTAAGCAAGAACTGTGCAGAAGTGAACTCTTGCCTCTGCGGGATAGGATTGGTAGATTTGTGAAAAGGGGGGTTTTAAAGAAATGACCAAAACAAATAGCAAATAATTTGTCTTGGCTGGGAACATCCTCTGCTTTGTGTCCCCACAGGGTGTAGTTCTTACTCATTGCTGTATCAGTCTTTGGTTTCCTGGCCCAGAAGGTACCCGTTTCAGAGTCTTGATCCGCCTGATTACTGAGCAGATGACTGTTTAAAAGGATTATTGCAACTGAGATGCAGTGTAAACATGTTGCAATCGGTAATCATGCTACAGTAGGTCAGCATCTCTGATACTGTGCTCTTTTTTTGATGTATAATGTATGTCAAGTGTCTGGAGAAGATTCTGTATCGAAAGGTGCTTTATAAGAATAAAATTGCTCAATGGGACTCCGCAGTCCTGTCGAGAATAAAATCAAGTGAGATGGCAAGGATGTCTGTACAGTGTACATTCATCTAGAAGAACACAGTCATAGTGTTTTACGTCTTATATTTTTCACTCGCGGGTGTGTTGATGAAATTACCATTTCAAGGGTAGTTTTAGAGAAGACAAGGAAAAGGCCTCATAGCACCACATACACATTCGGTTACTGGAGAGGTAAAAACGGGAACATCAGTTGATGCTTTTGTGATTCATCCTGCATTGACACTGCAGCTCCAGCACCACAGTACAACTCGCCAAGATGGTGTCTCATCTAAGCATAATTTATAATTGGCAGCCGCTAAAATTGTGCACCACAGTGGCGTTAACCCCACTGAGTTTTCCTCAATGTCTATAAAAACAGCTTCTCGGTGAGCCTCGAATTGTTTTCCTAATGCATACTGTATGTCGGCAAACATTTGACCCAGAGGTGAAAGTGGTGGATCTCTGGTCAGGTCTGTAGCACTACTGTCTTTTTGGTTTATTCCCCCACTTCATTCTGACCCTTCCTGTATGCGGAGTGTGATTTGTTTTTCCTTCATCGGACAGGAGAGCAGACTGTAGCCTGCGTGCAATGTGCAGAAGCGCTCCACGCTGTCAGTTTAAGCTGTTAGCACAGTGGAGATGGAAAGCATGGCTGAAACACTGACAGTGGAGTGAGTTACTCGGCTTGGACCCTGTCTCCACAGACATTCCTGGCGTTCAGTCTGCGCGATCCAGGGAAGGGCCAGATCGGCTTCTCTTGAAGACTGGTGCTTTGCTGTGGGGAGTTTAAACACACTTGGGGTGTCTTGGGGGACAGGTATCCCTGTAGCAGTCTCGCTGATCACTGTGGGGCTTGGCATAGCAGCAGGTGGCAGAGGGATCTAGCCCTTTATCTGAAAATATCTGATTCCAAAACAAACTGAATTTAATTGCAGTAGATTTGAGAAATAAAAAAGCTTGGGGAAAGGTTGCTTAGTTCGTTTTAGCTGTGGGATAAAGACATTTTGTTCTCCCATCTTCCTGAGTTTATAATAATAATTCATTACACTTATATAGCGCTTTTCTGGACACTCCACTCAAAGCGCTTTACAGGGACTGGGGATCCCACTACCACCACCAATGTGCAGCCCCCCCAGCTGGATGATGTGATGGCAGCCATAATGCACCAGTACACTCCCCACACACCAGCTCTCAGTGGGGAGGAGAGCAGAGTGATGGAGCCAGTTCAGAGATGGGGATTATTAGGAGGCCATGATTGGTAAGGGCCAATGGGAATGTGGTCAGGACACCGGGGTTACACCCCTACTTTTTCCGTGAAACACCCCAGGTTTTTTAATGACCACAGAGAGTCAGGACCTTGGTTATATGTCTCATCCGAAGGACGGCACCCTTTTACAGTATAGTGTCCTCATTGCTATACTGGGGCATTAGGGCCCGCACAGAACACAGGGTGAGCGCCCCCTACTGGCCCCACTAACACCTATTCCAGCAGCAACCTCAGTGTTTCCCAGGAGGTCTCCCATCCAAGGTACTGGCCAGGCTCACACCTGCTGAGCTCCAGCGGTTTGCCACTTGTGAGTCGCAGATTGACATGACTGCTGTCACCATGCTTTATCCCCTCGTAAGGCTGGCTGTTGGGACCTCCTAAGGCCTGTGGAAGACTTTACAAAGAAACGAATCAAAAGCCTTCATGGCGGTTAATGCTGCACCAGACTTATACACAGAGTGGCTACTGTCACTCCTAGTCTGCTGACTGTGACTCTATTCAGCAATACACAGACAGCTCTTACATGGAACAGAACCCCATGTACCAGTCCACATGTGCCATAAATTAATAATCATCCATTAACATCAATTCAGTAGTCCAGTTAAATCCCAATTAATGCAGCGGATAGATGAAATACTACCTGTAGAGAGTTTTTGGTATGACTCTCCCAGAACACCCTCAATATAGCCAGGAATGAGCTGGGGAGCTGCTGCAAGAGTGCAGTGAGGGAGGAGAGAGAGAGATGCACCAAGATAAGACCTGAGTGTGCGACTTACATACGCCACTGGGAGGAAGTGTGTGAGATGAGGACCTAACCTTCCTCCCAAATTTCTGTTATAACCTGCATTAATCTAGAGATTAGTAACAATGGGGGAAAAAATAATACTCTATAGTAGCCTCATCTGGCCACTACAGAGTCCTTATAACTCATTCTTTGGTGTTCTGCCACAGCACATTCTAAGGAAGGGGTCTTCTGTCTAGATCCCAAAGATCTCCAGTCTAGTAGGATTTGTTGGGCAGTATTAAATTCCTAGCTTCTGAAGGAACACTTTCACTGAAATCAGTTAAGCAGGTAATTTGTAACATCTCAAGATCATCAAATCTAGATACCCTTCAGCCTGCAGTATATAAGGTCCTATTAATATCGCAGATTATTTGCTTATTTCATCAATAACTTCTAGGTGATCCTAGTCTTTAGAAGCAGATGATCTATAGGAATAGCTGCACAGGACATCTCCCAGACCAGGGTTGGAGAGCTCTCTCCAAAGCTGTTGGTTAACTGTAGAAATGACATGGGGGGGGTTTGAGTGTAAAAGGTAGGTTTAAATTGTGAAGCTCAGTGCGGAGTTATTTTTGGTTTGGTAAAGGGAGCATTATTATAAAGCTGGAGGGCAGTATCTTTGAGCTTGCAGCTGCGACTGCAACTGAAAAATGAAACCGTCTTCTTCGGGCTGGCACAGTAAACGGGCTTGGCCACAAAGGAGCCATCAGGTTTGACAGTAACAGGAATCAAATTAGTAAGACTAATACTGGCTGGGTTCAGTTGGGACTTTCATGGCTATCATCACGCCAAATTTAGGGGTTCATGAGGCTGTATGAAAAAGAGACGGGCAGTAATAGATAGAGCCAGTGTGGGTCCGTTTCTTAAAAACTGGCTTTTTAAATAATCAAGAAAACCCATCTTTTTATCTCCCCTTAGTCACTGGTGTGTCACTAACTGGCGTGAAGCTGGACAGAGTGAAATTTGGCGAGCAGCTGCAGAGCCACACTTCCAGGTCCTTGTTAGGGGCTGCATTCACCCTAACAAGGTCAGAGCTGAAGTCATGATGTTCCAGGTCATAGCGCCGGCCCTCTGGCTCCCAAAACTGCTTTGAAACACTTTGTTCCCAGTTTATTTTTACCTCTTTCCCCACCCACCCCCCTTCTCTGTCCACTGCAAATGCTAAAGCTTAATAATTTTTTTTTTCTCTTCCAAATCGGAAAGCCCTTAAGGATCGTATGTG